CAAAATGAACAGAATGTTTAGTTTTCATTTTTGATAACCCCAAGGCTTTTAGTTTTGCTGGATCTTAACTTTCATACTTAGATTGTCCTTACGGTTCAGTGTTGGGTTGCACTGGTATCTTGCAAATTATATTCTCCCTTATTCTGAGTGTACTAATTAGATGTTTTGGGTCAGCCAGACCTTCCTGAGCCTACGTTCTTGGTACTCTGCTTAAAACAGAAAACCACTGATTCAACAGATGGTTTATTGAAGGGATGGCTGACAAGGATGCAGCACAATATGGTAGAGCAAAAAGAAGCACACGGATGCTCTTATACATAGGGGACCCCTCTCCTCCAATTTGAGCTGAACATGGTCTGTATGGCCAGATGCCATAAGGATGCTGTGCTTTCCATCCTATGGAAGAGAAGCTACAGTGTAAATGTACAAAGTCTTAATGGTCTAGTTTTCTTGTGTTCAAACTGGAAGGGAAGGAAGGAAGACAATACTGTACCCTTAAAAGGGGTTGTGGTGACACAAACCCCGTTTCTGACCATGTCTGCACAATTATGGCATTGATGAGATAACAGATTTGTAAATTCATGATGCTACCTGTTGCTTCTTTCTACGTTCATAGTTCCCACTAAGGTGGTGACATAGCATTCATGAGATAGTGGCTAAAACCTGCTGTTTAGGGTGGTAAAGTGCACTAGAGTAGGCCTGTTGAATCAGTGAGGATTTGGTGAGTCACCTCCTCTATAAGTTCCATTGATTCAAATGGGCCTAGAAGCACACGGATGCTCTTATACATAGGGGACCCCTCTCCTCCAATTTGAGCTGAACATGGTCTGTATGGCCAGATGCCATAAGGATGCTGTGCTTTCCATCCTATGGAAGAGAAGCTACAGTGTAAATGTACAAAGTCTTAATGGTCTAGTTTTCTTGTGTTCAAACTGGAAGGGAAGGAAGGAAGACAATACTGTACCCTTAAAAGGGGTTGTGGTGACACAAACCCCGTTTCTGACCATGTCTGCACAATTATGGCATTGATGAGATAACAGATTTGTAAATTCATGATGCTACCTGTGGCTTCTTTCTAAGCTTATAGTTCCCACTAAGGTGGTGACATGGCAACCTGCTGTTTAGGCCTGTTGAATCAGTGAGGATTTGGTGAGTCACCTCCTCTATAAGTTCCATTGATTCAAACGGGCCTACTCTAGTATAGCTTAATTTAGAGTAGTAAGTCACAGCTAGAGTAGGTCCATTTGTATCAGGCCTCACTTAGACGAACATATCCTTCAACACCTCAGTGTAAAAAATAGGGCCAGACCTGGGCATGAGTAGGTGTAAGTGAAGACAACATCTTGCAGTCAAGCAGATGGACAGTGACTGAAGCAAAACAGATAATACAGCCTCAACTATGTCAACAGCAGAAAATGGAGACTGGAAGGCTACAAAGAGATGGTTCCAAATGACAAAAAAAACAAACAAACAAACAACAACAACAGTCAAGTTCAAAGCTGCTTCAGAGTCCTTTGGCATCCATGGCCCTGGAAGCTAGGGACTCCTATGTCACAGATGCTAATTGTATTTCTGGATTTTTGGGCTACAAATTCCATAATTCTGTATTCTGCAGTTCTACCTGACAAATAGGCATTTTACAGACACCTAAATGTGGCTTTCCTGCCAACCTAGCATTTCGAAAGTATGCAAATGCGAGTAGATAAATAGGTACCACCTTGGTGGGAAGGTAACGGCGTGCAGTCTCTAGTCGCACTGGCCATGTGACCACGGTAACTGTCTATGGACAAACGCTATCTCTACGGTTTGTAGACAGGGATTAGCACCGCCCCCTAGAGTCGGATACAACTGGACTAAATGTCAAGGGGAACCTTTACCTTTACCTAAATGTGGCTTGCCTGGGAGGAAGGGCTTAAACTGGAACACTTTGGGGCCTAGTGAGTCCAAGCTTCCTGTTGCTGCCCCAATGCCAGCTGAGAGCTTTCCGAGTAAGGAGTTGTGAATGTGTTATGGGACTACGGTATGTCAAACTTTAAGTGAGCTATCCAAGGTCCTAAATCTGTTTAGGGGATATGTATCAATCAATCAATCAATCTGAAGACCAATTTGATTTGTCTCTTAATATTGTGATACTTTTAGGACAATAATTTGCATTTTCTCCAGAAACAATTTATTTTATTTTATTTATTTATTTGATTTGTACCCTGCCCATCTGGTCTATAAGACCACTCTAGGCGGCTTCCAATATAACATAAAACAATAAAATAACACAAAATATTACATAAAACATATAATAACAAACACAATACAATACAATACAATTCCTTAGTGAGGCATAGCCTCAGATGAGCATGAACAGGATTTGATATGTATGATGATTAAATCAAATCAAATTATTCAATAAGATTATAAAACAACACTTTAAAGTCTAACTGGATATCTATATTTCTCACTACTGCTTAATTACAGCACAGTTTTTATTTCAACCATTTTCTTTGACAATAAGAGTTTCTTTTTCTAAAATGCTTTGGTTTTATGAATGTTTCAAGACCAACTGCTAAATCCTTCATGTTTGCTACTAATATTGATAGTTCTCTTTTCAACTTTTATTTTGCCACCTGGCGAAAGCTAGACTATGACCCAGTGAGAGAAAGTCTCACTGAACTCAGTGGAGCTCACTTCTCAGTAGACACATTCATTCATTTGTTTCTTTGGCTACTAAGGCATTTATTTATCCCCCTCTCTAAATGAAAAAGATCCCAGAGTGACTTACATGAGATCAATAATAAAGAAGACAGTCCCTAAGGATGGGTGAATCTGTCAAGCTTAATTTCACTCAAATTCTCAAAATGCGTTTTTAATTAATCTGTGTCCATATTTTCATGAGCCTTTGGAAACTGAATGTGTCCTAAAATGTAGACGTTTTGTACATTTTTTTTTTCAAATGCAGCAGTTTTGGAAGAGTTAGCCATGTGCTAGCATATCCAGAAAAAAAGAAAAGAAAAGAAAAAGAAAAAAAATACATTGTGGCACCTTAAAGACTAACTGCTATATTTTAATATGAGTTTTCAAAGACAAAACTCTTCTGTTTGATGCAGTGGACTTGTTCAAGAAATCTCACATTAAAATATAGCAGTTAGTCTTTAAGGTGCTACAACGTTTTTGTCTTTTTCAAATGGACAGATATTTTTAAGTGATTATCCAACCAAACAAAGCCTTTTCCTATTTCCATTATTTACCATTTTTGTACAATTTCCAAATCGGGTGTATTGTTTCAAATGTATGTATTTAAATGCCTTTACATACATGGATTCCATTCCTAACTGCTGAACTAAACAGATTTGGATATCTATATTCAGTAGATTTGGTTTTACAGTCATTTTGACAAGTGTAAATTTAGTCAGTCAAATGTAAAATAAGTAAATTTTACACTCAGTCCTAACAGTCCTACCAGTAGTCCTCCATTTTAAAAAAATATGATAAAGAACTAAAAAACAAAAGAGAGTGAGAGTGTGTGTGCACGCACGCACGTGCACTCACAAGAGAGATTTGGACATCAGTGCTTATATTAAAATAAAAAACAGGATAACTAGTGTGAAGAATCTGGTGGAGGTGATCTCTCAAAAGAGCAGGTGGAATAACTCTGTAGTTCTATCTGTGCTATAACCTGATGCAAAGTCTGAAAGAACTGAACCGATGCAAAGTATCACATTTCATATCCACTATCCATTTTCATAGCTGCTTTCCATTCGAAAGAAAGAGCTTCATGGAATTTTTTTACATTAAAGTTTCTAGAAATTTTGTGAAATTGTCCCAAACCCAAACAAATTGAATGTGCACTCTGTTATTTGATGACAGCAGAGAATTTGGGGAAATGTTTACGAAATCTTTCTTCCCAAGAAAGTTTCCCCCCCTTTCCACAGGAGTGGCATCTTCAAAACTGAGTTTTGTTCAGTCTGGTTTCTCATAAGAGCTTTTCGAAGTTTATACGTTTCTCCATGAAATTAACAGAAAGAACTAAAGATTTTAAGGATCCAGATGAGAGAGAAACAAAAACTGATTGATTCACCTCTCTAGGCAGAGTACTTCATTGCTACTGCTTAGCTTTTTTAAGTCTGGCTTTTAATTTCTCTGTATTCATCTATGTTTGTGGTGCTGAATTAAGGCACCCACTTTTCTTTTCTCTTCTCAATATGCTTATCTTTAACAGGTAGGCAGAAAGCGGGGAATAGCTGTACTTATTTAATTTAGTCATTGCCAAATTAAGAATTTTGCTTGATTTGTGTTTGATGTTAAATTTCCAGGCAACATTCAGAATTCTTTCTTTCTTTCTATCTATCTATCTATCTATCTATCTATCTATCTATCTATCTATCTATCTATCTATCTATCTATCTATCTATCTATCTATCTATCTATCTATCTGTCTGTCTGTCTGTCTGTCTGTCTGTCTGTTCCAAATCTAAAGTCATTTTGAAAGGAATCTAAAGTTGTTTTGAAAGGCCTTTTTTAAAATTTGAGCCCTGGATCTTTGTTGAGAGATAAGCTGGTACTGTTAGGACAGGCTAACACATAGTTGGTGCTTTCCGTGAAGAGGCCTGTTCATCTTGGAAACAATCATCTAAAGTCATTTTGAAAGGCCTTTTTTAAATTTGAGCTCTGGATCTTTGGTGAGAGAGAAGCTGGTACTGCTAGGACAGGCTGACACATAGTTGGTACTTTCCATGAAGAGGCCTGTTCATCTTGGAAACAATCTCTTCTGCCATTTCATAGGGATTTAAGTAACTATAATTAAAACTAATTCCCCGCAAATGAGCCAAGAGCGATGTAGGCAAGGGTTATGTGGTTCTGAGATCTAAAAATATAGAACCTCTGTAAATTGTCTTGAGTTCTGGCTTCTCTGAACAGCATAGGCTGTTTATGTGTGTGTGGAGGTTGTATTTATGTGTCATGTTTTATCATTGTGGTCTCCCTCCACTCCCCCCCTCTTTCTTTTAAAGGCCTGTACAGGAGGTGGATGTACAGTTAGTGAACCTGCTTCAGCAATAACAACTGAAAGTACACCAGAAGGCGTTCTTGCTCCAGATGCCCAGTCATATTCCTCTGACTCCTTTAACGTCTCGTGGACTAAGCCAGAGTACCCGAATGGTAAGTGAACTCTTTTAGCCTCAAGTTAAAAAGATGATTAGTAAAGGTAAATTAATATTCTAAATGGCAGCTTATATGTGGTGCTTAATTTTTAATGATCATTTTAGCGCATAAAATACCTGAGATAGTATCATTGTCTGTAGCTAGGAGATGGAAGTTTTCAGCCTCTCTCTGCTGTTTTAGTGGCTCAAAAGTGCTCCCTTTTGATGATTCTCGTGTACTGCATTCTTTTACTTAATGCTTTATGGAACAATCGAAAAGAAGGATGCCTCTGCCACATCTTAATAAAGTGTTGATTCTTATGGCGTAGTAGTGTTAGCGTTAACATTGGTTTCAGTATTATTTGCTTCTAGATGCACTCAGTAGTTTACCTCAGTGGTTCTTAACCTTGGTTACTCAGGTGTTTGTGAACTGCAACTCCCAGAAATCCCAGCCAGCACAGCTGATGGTGAAGGCTTCTGGGAGTTGCAGTCCAAAAACACCTGAGTAACCCAAGGTTAAGAACCACTGGTTTACCTCATATTTCTACTTTCAAAAGGCTTTTTAATTTTTAGATTTCAGGCAGGAGTTTATAACCCTTGTCTGTACATACCTCCATTTAGAGTTGCCCCATTTCTTTTTCTCTTTCAACTAACTCAGCTGCTCTGCAGAATGTCATGGCAGTACAATGCTGGAGAGATACTAGTGGATAGAGTAGTGCACAGACATGAAAATCCTTGCCTAGCCAAAGCTTTTTTCTGTGTATTTCTCTCTTTCTCTCTCTTTTTATCTAGCTCACGTGGGGCAGCAAGGAAGGAAAAAATATAGCATGGACGCCACACAGATTTTTCTTGAAATCAGAGTGGATCAAAATGCAAAAATGTAATTTTAACAGTGAAATCCTATTTATCATTCAAAAGTAAAGTGTACTGTGTTATACAGTACACACTTACTCCAAAGTGTGTATAATATAGAACCTTAATTATAATGTCTGAATGTTAGAGAGTGAGAAAAACTGCTAACTACAGGTACTGTTGCCAGTTTGTTAGCTTTCTCGGGGACCCTGGATCAAAGCCTTTAAGGCTAGCTGAGATTTTTGTAGGTGAAGCTTTTGCTACACCTTTTGCAGGGGTATATTTTGTGTACCTTGGTTCAATCATCAGTTCAAATGAAGACCATACCCCCTTAAAAAATCAAAAGAAGACTGAGACTCAGAAGGGCAGCAAGGAAAGGATTAGAAAAGATCATCAAGTGTAAGGATATGTCATTAGAGACCAAGACCAAAACCATCCATGCTCTTGTATTTCTGATTACCATGTATGAGTGTGAAAGCTGGAGAGTTAAGAAAGCTGACAGGAAAAAAAAGATTGATTTGAAATGGGAAGCTGGAGGAGAGTTTAGCAGATACCCCGGGGACTGCTAGAAAGATGAACAAGTGGGTCGTAGATCCAATCAAGCCTAAACTGCCTCTGGAGCCAGAAATGTTGACATTGAGTCTGTCCTACTTTGGGCACATCACAAGAAAGCAGAATTCTCTGGAAAAGACACTAATGCTGGGAAAGGTGGAAGGCAGCAGGAAAAGAGGAAGACCATACACGTATGAGATGGGCTGACTCCCAAAACAAGGCCAGAAGCCTGAGTCTGCAGGAGCTGAGCAGGGCTGTTGAGGTTTTAGAGATCACTCATTCATATGGTCAGCATAAGTCACAGGTGATTTGATGGTTTATAACTACAACAAACCTCCATGCACACATACATAGTGTGTTTAACCCATCAGTAGGGCCAGTGAAAAAGGCAACTGTGCTGTTTGTATTTGTTACGTTTTTTCCTGTTTTAAAAATAAGTGAAATGTATGATATGAACAAAAATCCACTTGCACCTTTGAGACATATAACAGGCAATGATACTAGGAGATTAGTCAAGTTGAGATTAAAGTTTTTTTTAACAATTATTTAATAGTCTAAAAGCTATAAATAACTATTGCAATCTGTGAGTTAATGCAAGCTTGTTGCTAGCCTGCCTTCTGCTCTCAAATAGCACTGTTGATTATTTCAGCATAATTTGTAAGCAATTATAAATTTTAATAAGGCAGGTTTATTTGCCAGATATACACTACACTAAATATGGACAGTGGCATGTGCTACCGCTGTTGTTTGTTCTGTTACGTAAATGTTTCATGGTAAGAATCAATTGTGGGGAAAAATGTTTTGTCTGTCAGATACTCCTCCTAACAATGTAATCTTGTACAAGTATATTTAGGGATGAGCCTCACAGAGTTCAGTGGGATTTATTACCAGGATGAATTTCACCCCCAGACATGCTGGTTGGAGGGAGTTAGAAATCTGATAGAAACATCTATGTGCTTGCAGATTGGTGCCTTGCTGTTGTGTTCTTATTGTACATTTATTGTACAATAAGAAATAGACTTGAGGGACAATTTAAATTAATATGAGTTTTACTGTCACATTGTCAACATCATGTCCTAAATCTGTTGACAATCAGAAATCACAATGGCTAATTAACTAGATGTTGGTCACATGCCTGGTCATGTGGTAGTTTCGGGAGCAGGCAAATGACTGGGCTTTGCAGTGCTGTGTACTGAAAACACAGAACGTTTCTTGCCAGGGTAAGGATGATCTGATGTAATAAAATTGTTTTCCAGTAACCTAATAAAAAGTTCAGAATAACTTGCATTATACTATGTTGCTCACTCTTCCAAATTTCCAACTTAACATCATAACATGATCCTATGTTTCGTAATGTATCTATCATTTATGTTGAATTGCAAGAAATCCGTGCTACATGGACATGATTGCCCACACTAGTCCGCTGGACACAGTCAGTTCTGTACTGGGTTCAGTTTCCATTCCTGAGCTTGGTAAAGTCATTGCAATAAACAAGCTCTGTCTGGGGCTGGGCTTGGCACCATTCCATGAGGGCTGCTAGAGGTAGCTGGAAGGCGCTGGTGGTCCTCCTGCTCTTTGGTGAGCCACCTCCTACTCCTCACTGGCTTTTGCACCACAAGCACACTTGTTGAGTGGGGATGGAAGCTGTGGGACCCGTTGGATGTCTCAGGAGTGTTGGAGCCGGTGGAGCTGGAGCTTTTTCTGGGACTGAGATGATGGACAACCCTGCCTCTAGTCACTGCCGCTGGTGGGCTCTTGCCAAGAGTCATCATTTTGCTTCCAAATCAGCTCCTCAGTAGTGCTTAGGACAGGCTCTGCCACAGACCCCTAGGTCTCCTCTTTTTTGGCCAAACCTCTGCTGGGAGTCCCATGCTCCTAGGATGACCCTGAACTTTCATCCCTACCCTAGCTTATCTCCAGTGATGGACCATCCTCCTGTCCTGCCAGCTGCCCCAGCTGCCCAGCTCCCAAGTGACTTATGGGCTTTCCTCCTCCCACCTTTTCACAGAGCCCAGTGTGGCTGCTCCTTGTACACTCTCAGGATAGTTTGGGGTGGGAGCTGACAGCCCACCAAGGTTGCTGGTGGTGAGCCCCTCACAGCTTGCAGTTCAAATTTCTCTACATAAACTGAAAGCTTCAGTAGCTTAGGAGCGGAGAATGTCAGGTCCTTTCATTCTCCACAATAATAGCATCTTCTTATTTTAATGGTTAAAATGCCCAAGGATTAATTGCAGGCAATGAGGGGGTTAAGCTAAAATGTGCTTATATTTTGGGACCCCACTTTCATGTTTTATGATCTGACCAAGAATTTTTGTGCAGTTGAACCTTGAGCTAAATCAGGTTCCCACTATTGATCTAGCTAGACATATGAAATCTCAAAATTTCCCCTTAACCTCAACAGCCCTTCTGTCTAGCAAATTACTGCAATGTACCTTGCTTGGCACTCCCTGTTGGACTGCCCCATGTTATATGCCAGGGTGTCTCTAAAGTGGTGCTTGATGTGGCATGATAACAAATGTCCCTTCTGACTGAAGCCTATCTTCCTCTATGCAGCATTATGAACATGAGCAGTATTTGTAATATAAACAGTATATGAATGGACACCTACTGTGGTCCTGAAGCCTCATAATCAGTTATATACTTACAGCTAGATGTACTGATGGTGAAAGCACTATATTTGAAGTATATCACATTTCAGGATATTTATTTGGTTGAGTGATCTGTGTGGAGAGGTGTATGACAAGTATACAATTTAATATAACCATCTCTCATCCCAGTTGTATACATGTTTGTTTTCTGCATTATTTGGGTGGCTGACACATTCATTGTCCCCTGTTGTTCTACCACCCATATGAACGCTAGTGATCACAGAAGTATGTTAAGCACTGCATGAAAACATGTGTTATTTGACACCACTGATACCTGTGTGTGTGTGTGTTGTATGTATTTGGGTGTACATTTGTTATGGGTATGGGAAAATTACTTAATATATCCTCTTTTTTTTAAAGAGCCTTGTGCAAATGAGCTACTGTAGCAAAATGCTGACATCCTAACTAGGGTAAAAGTAACCATCCAGCATGCCACAGTGCTTCCAGACAACAAAAATCTATTGTTTATTGGAATTTGTAAGTGGAAGCATCCTGCTCCAAAGTAAACAATTACCGCATGAGAAGCTGTGCTTTTATACAGAGAATAAAGCTCTCACCTGGATAAGCAAAAAATAAAAAAATAAAAAAAATCCAACAAACATCCAGCTGAAATTTAAAATCAAATAAACCTGCAAAACGCAGGTTCTTTCCAAGCTCAGCAAACAAAATCCATGACAAATTCTACAGCCCATTAATTACATTCACAGTTCCATTATAGACAGACCTGCTGTGCATTTTACAACTTTCATACAGCACTAATCATGTTCCTCTTGGACGTGCAGAACATTGGATAGCTTTAGATGTCAGGTTAAGGCAGTGGAGGAGACCAATTATTTGCTAGCTACCGCCTCCTTGGACGTGCAGAACATTGGGTAGCTTTAGATATCAGGTTAAGGCAGTGGAGGGTTGAGGGGGGTCAGGAGACCAATTATTTGCTAGCTACCGCCTAATTTCAAGTAAGAGTTGC